CAAATTGTTGATGGAGAAAAACAGGGCAGGGGAAAGAACACGGAGCTCCAGGGACTTGCAATTGTAAGCGGGGTGATGGAGAAAGGCTTCACTCCCAGGAGATTTGGGGATGAGACACACGGTGGGCAGGGGCACAGTCCACACTTGGAGTTGCAAAGAGGGGCCCAGAGCAGGGAGGAGGCAGGATGGGGTGGCATGGGGCCTTGTAGGACTAAGGACGAATTTTAGCTGTTCTTGGGCCACTGGAGAATGAACCAAAGAGAAACACTGATGATGAAACCTGGTGATGATGATGAGCCTGGTTCACTGATGATGAACACTGATGAGGCCTGGTTTTGAAAGGGTCTGTTTGGCTGCCATGTTAGCAATAGCCCAGAGATGGAGGGACTGGGGAGAGGTTTGGGCAACCCCAGGGGTGGTTGTCTGAAGCAGGCCGGTGGCCATTCATCTCATTTAATGTTCACCCTGCCCTTGCAAAGCAGGTGTCCTTTACTGACCCTATTGTATGGACAAGGAAGCTGAAGCCTGCCTTCAGGCGACAGGGTCTCTCTAATGATTTAGGGAAGTGGGGGAGAGGGTGACAGGGTAACAAGGGGCCCCAGACAAACCGGGAAGATTGGTCATCCTAAGGGTAGACCAACCAAGAACTCGGGAGGTGGGATGGGCTCCAGGCATGGCTCTGATGGGCAGGTCCACCTCTTGCCTCCAGCTGGGACCCCATCCTGGCCTATATCAATGAGCAGTATGAGCAGTACCTGCAGGAGGAGATTCTCATCACACGCCAGCGCCACATCCCGGACACCCGTGTGCACTGCTGTGTGTACTTTGTGCCACCCACCGGGCACTGGTGAGGTGGCTTGGCCAACTGGGGAGAGGGTAAAGGGGAGGAGAAGGGGTCTCCAGAATGGTCTGTGAGCTGGCTCCCCCCTCACTCATACATTTGCCACCAACACCAACACCATTGCCACCATCACTGCACTGCCTGGGCAGCCTTAGGCCCCTGGACATTGAATTCCTGCAGCGGCTGTGCCGGACTGTGAACGTGGTGCCTGTGATTGCCCGGGCTGACAGCCTGACCATCGAGGAGCGAGAGGCCTTCAGGCACAGGGTGATCTGGGTGCCCAGGGCAGGGCTGGGGTCAGTATGGCAGAGGGCAGAGTGGGCAGGGCATACTGAGGTCACATGTGTGTGATCCCCAGATCCAGCAAAATATGAGGGCTCACTGCATTGACGTGTACCCTCAGAAGTGCTTTGACGAGGACGTCAATGACAAGATCCTCAACAGTAAGATACGGGTGAGAGGCCATGAGGGCAGAAGGCTGGCAGGCAGGGCTGAGGCTGGGTGACTTTTCTCCCACTTATCTTTTCCATCCAAAGATTCATCTCTCTCTACATCTCGGGGCCATGTGCATGTATTGAATCTCCATCCATATTCAGGGTCTGGGAGAAATAGTTCACATCAACAACCTACAGAATGTGAGAAAATGTTTTCAAATCACATATCTGTTAAGGGGTTTGTATCCTGAATAGCTAAAGAACTCTCACAACAACCGAAGACAACCCAATTTTAAAGTAGCCGAAAGACTTGAATAGATATTTCCTCCAAAGAAATTGATATACAAATACTATTGCTATGCAAATGGTCAACAAGCACATGAGAAGACTCACAACCTCATCAGTCATCAGGAAAATGCAAATCATGACCACAGTGAGATACCACATGACACCTAGTAGGAGGTCCACAATCAAAGACATCTTCTGTGGCTGAAGGTGCAGCAGAATTGGAGCCCTCATACACTGCTAGTGGGGATGAAAACTGTCTGGCAATTTCGTAAATGGTTAAACATCCAGCTACCATATGACCCAGCAACTATACTCCTAAGTAAACACCCAAGAGAAATGAAAACAGACATTCATATAAAAACTTGCACATGAATGTTCATAGAAGCATTATTCCTAATAACCAGATAGTAAAAGCCACTCAAATACTCATTAACTGAAGAGTAGCTGAACAACATGCAGTATATCCAGACAAATATTTTTCAATCACAAAAGGAATGAAGCACTGTTAGGCCACAACCTCTAAAACACTATGCTGAGGCCAGGGGCAGTGGCCCACACCTGTAATCCCAGCACTCTGGAAGGCAGAGGCAGGTGGATCACTTAAGCTCAGAAGTTCAGGCTCAGCACCTGTAGCTCAAGCTGCTAAGGTGCTAGCCACATACACCATAGCTGGCAGGTTCAAATCCAGCCTGGGCCTGCCAAACAACAGTGACAACTATAAATAGCTGGGCGTTGTGGCAGGTACCTGTAGTCCCGGCTACTTAGGAGGATGGGGCAAGAGAATCGATTAAGCCCAGGAGTTGGAGGTTGGAAAAAAAAAACAAAACTCAGGAGTTCAAGACCAGCCTGAGCAAGAATGAGACCCCTGTCTCTATTAAAAATAGAAAAACTAGCCAGGTATTATTGTGGGGCACTTGAGACTAAGAGTTTTATGTTGTTGTGAGCTATGACGACAGCTGACTGAGTAGACTCTGTCTCAAAAACAAAAACAAAACCCCACTATACTGAGTTAAAGAAGTCAGGCACAGAAGGTCGTGTGTTGTTACATGATTCTATTTCTATAAAATATCCCAAACAGGCAAATCTGGAGACAGAAAGTGGATTAGTGGTAGCCAAGGATTAAGGGAAGGGAGAAATGGGGCGTGATTGCTAATAAGTATGGAGTTTCTTTTGGGGATGATGGAAAATGTTCTGAAATTAGATAGCGATGATGACTGCATGACCTTGTGATTACGCTAAAACCCACTGAATTATATACTTTAAAAGGGTGATTTTAGGGGTATGTGACTTATACTTTAATAATAGCTGTTTGGAAGAAAGAAAAAAATAGAGAAAGAAAAAGAGATTATGTGTGCATTTTATCTGAACCGGCTGAACTTCTCTAAGTCCTCACCCTGCCACCCATATAACACAGTCAACATCAGTCCATTTGGATCCTGCAAAGCCCATGGATGAGCCTGGGAATTCATCACCCACAGACCCCAGGCCTCAACCTCCTTGCCCAGGGAATCTGCTAACCTACACAGTGCTTTTGCTAGGGCAGGAAAAAGGTAGCATTTTATTCATACGTGGGGGGCTGCGTGGGATTTCAGCCCCAAAGATCCTATGCCAGTTGTCTTTGTGCAGTGCACACAAACCACACGTCTGTACACTGAGGCCCTGCTTCCCATCTAGCACTCAATTCCTTGTGAAAGACTTTGTGGGCCATACCATCTCTGTTGCAGTTACTTGACTCTGCTATTATGGTTTGAAAGCAGCCACTGAACAAATGACCTGTGTGCCAATAAAACTTTATAAAGGAAAGCAAACAGGGAACCAAATGTGGTTTGTGAGCCATATGTTCCAAACCCTGACTTATAAAGTTAACCTCTGATTTTTTTTTTTTTTTGAGACAGAGTCTCACTTTGTCACCCTTGGTAGAGTGCCATAGCATCATAGCTCACAGCAACCTCAAACCCCTGAGCTCAAGAGATCCTCTTGCCTCAGGCCCCCAAGTAGCTGGGTCTACAGGCGTCCACCACAATACCTTGCTATTTTTCAGGGACAGGCATCTCATTCTTGCTCAGGCTGGTCTGGAACTCCTGAGCTCAAGCAATCCACCCCTCTTGGCCTCCCAGGGTGCTAGGATTACAGGCATGAGCCACTGGGCCCACCTATTATCTCTGATTGTTGTTTCCATTTCACTGATAAGGTTTTTGACATAAATAAGATTTATCATTAATGTAGTTATTAATAATAATACAGTTTCCAACAATTACTCTGCTAACCCTTAACTAGGCTAAGCACTTCCCAAGCATTCACAAGCCCTGCATCAGTGCTATCAGTCTTTCCACCTTACAGAGGAGGCGGCGGAGGCACCATCAGGCTGTCTTTGCCCTTTATAAAAAATTTGTGCTCCTTCTACCACATTCCCACCCCAAAAAGGACCATGCCCACTTCATACCTTGGAGCTTTCTCTTCCCACTCCCAACAGGGCCAATCCTTTGTCTCTTCTCCTCCCACAGGACCGGATCCCCTTTGCTGTGGTTGGGGCTGACAGAGAGCACCTGGTGAATGGGAGGTGTGTCCTGGGCCGGAAGACCAAGTGGGGCATCATTGAAGGTCAGTGCAGGGATTTGGGGGAGGGTGTAGGTGAGGATGTGCTGGTGCCTTTTACCACCCATCATGGGGCCCTGAGTGTGAAGCCCACAGATAGAGCACAGACAGAGCTGGAACAAAATCCTTCATTCCAGCTAGGAGGCCTTGGGCAAACTGCCTAGCTCCCTGGGCCTCAGTTTCCTGATAGTGAAATGGGCATCATAAGAATATCAGCTGCATAAGATAGCTGGAGGGGGTGGAGCCGGGGCTGTGCATGACACTAGGCACTCAAAGGCACCCTGTTGGCTGGCCAGAACTTACTGTGCCCCCCCCACCCCACCCCCGTGTGCTGGGCACCACCATGTACAACCTCTAAGGGCACAGAGTGGAAGCAGGACTGACAGGCCCCTGTTCCCACAGAGCTAACAGGACAGGAACAGGTGGGAGAGACTCCTTGGGGACTCAGGGAGGGAGGCTGTCTTAGGGAAGGCTCTGCAGGGACAGGGCTGGGGGAGAGGGAAGCCAGCCCAAGTCCCCACTGGTCATTATGATCATTGGAAATATAATACAGCATCATCTATGGCATACTGTGCAGTTGCCCTTCAGTATCCGCAAGGGAGTGGCTCCAGGAAGCCCGGGGATACCAAACTCTGCAGAGGATCAAATCCTGAGTTGGCACCACGGAACTGTGGACACAGAGGGCCGAGTGTGCATGAGAGTATATAATACAATGCTTGGTGCGTTGATTTACAACCATTTGAGGGAGCTGCTTATACCAGGCCCTGGGAACACAAAAGTGAATGAATAAATGAATGAACCAACGAAATAGAGGTGGGATAAGACAGAAGCCTGGGGAAAGAGCAGAGGACAAGTGCTCAGGTGGTGGTATGGTCTGCAGTGGGCACCTACTCAGTGCTTGCCCCATGTCTTGCAGTGGAGAATATGGCGCACTGTGAGTTTCCTCTCCTGAGAGATCTTCTCATCCGGTGAGGGCGTGGGGAGCCTGTGGCTGGAGGCCCAGGGGTCCAGGGATGCCACAGCCAGGGCTGACTGCCTCCCACCCCCCAGCTCCCACCTCCAAGACCTGAAGGACATCACCCACAATGTCCACTACGAGAACTACCGTGTTATGAGACTCAACGAGAGCCACGTGCTGCCTCGTGGGCCTGGCTGGGTGAACCTGGCCCCAGCCTCCCCTGGACAGCTGACCACCCCTGGGTCCATGAAGACCTGTAGGCAGGCCCAAGATGACTCAGATGATGAGTTCTGAGCACCTACTGTCCCGGGCCTGCAGGATTGCCTGAGGCCCCAACACACACAAACACACACACACACACACACACACACAACTGTGCACCAGAGCAGCTATTAAAGGTGGACATTGCTTTTTATGGAAAGTTGTGCTTGGAAAACAAAAGGTGTTTTGTAAATGACTTCTTTGAGCGATCCACAAATAAAAATACGGTTCTTTTTAAATTAATAGCGTGAGACCCAAGGTCCTCAGGAGTTTTTTCATTTCTTTTCTGTTTTTTTTTTGTTTGTTTGTTTGTTTTGAGACAGGGTCTTGGTCTGTCATCCAGGCTGGAGTACAATGGCATGATCATAGCTCACTGAAACCTTGAATTTCTGGGCTCAAGCAACCCTTCTGCCTCAACCTCCCACCACACCTGGCTAAGGTTTCTAGTTTTTATTTATTTACTTTTAGAGACAGGGTCTCACTATGTTGTCCAGGATGCCCTTGGTGTGGGAGTGGCTGCCTCAAATGACCAGCCCCCTCTGGCCCAGAACTGGAGCTGAGTTCTACAGTGGGCTCTCTGGTCTATCCCAAGTCCTCACTCTTGGCCCAGGCTAGGCCCATGAACCTGTCAGGAACACTTAAAATCTCATCTTTGTGGCCTGGTCTCTGGCTGCCTTCCCTGAACACCGTGCTCCGCTGCTCCCTGCCTTCCTCTCTCCCTGTCCCAGCAGACCACTGTGGGGAGCAAACAGCTCCAACTCTGGAGTCTGCGGAAATAAAATCCCAGCAGCAAGTCACTTATTCCTCCTTTGCTTCAGTTTCCTCACCTATAAATTGGGTTTGGTTGTATCACTCTCATAGTGCTGCTGTTTGAACACTACATAACAATTCCTAGAATGGGCTCGGCGCCTATAGCTCAACTGGCTAAGGC